AATAGAGCTAGCTAGCCTGAAATTTAAGCCCTTGGCCATATAGTTTGTGAATAATATGAGCCTCTGTGTGTTTATTTGGGAAATTTTGCTGTAGGGGGCAGGTGGGACAGATTCCTCCTGACATTGGGGTCAGGCAGGACTGGAGAAACTTCAGACAACAAGAAGCAATCCTTACCAAGTTCTGGAGTCCACCCAAGTCAGGCACTCACCGGTAGATTTTGGTCTTCTCTCTCAGCTCTATGCACTTGTACAAAGCCTCACTAAACTCCTTAGGTAATTTCTTCATATCTGACATATCTGTCTTATGCTCTGTGTTCTGTATCACATTCTCCGAATTCAGCCTGTGGTAGGGCATAGCCCCAGGAGCAAAGAACCCTGTGAACACAGGCCTCAGGGACCCCATAATTAAGGTTGTATTTTGCACTACCCTAGCCTATTGGATGTCACACCCTGAATCCTATGTACTGGGACCTCCTGATGTGCATTAGACTTGCTACCCTGCCCCAGGGCCAGAAATGGCTGGGTGTCAGCAGGGAGGGAGACAGGGCTCGATGAGCTCCCTCAGTAGGCCTGGAGAGGTAGAGTAGCTCTTCTGGAAGGTCCACAGGTGTGGGTCTACCTGAAATCTGTGATGACATTTCCACTGGTGTGAGAACAGAAATGCTTTGTCCTTACATGGATATCCAGAACTCATTATCAGTATTGCCATGCATGAGGCTCTCCATGAGGATGACTTTATAAACTCCCAACAGGATTCCAGTGAGGCACCAGGGTGAGCACAAAGACTGAGAACAGTGATGCTCAAAGTGGAGCTCCCTGGTCTCAGCACTTAAATCACCTGAAATCTTTGAAACAGGCAAATCCTCAGGCCTACTATCAATCTCCAACCCACAAGATCTGAAGGGACACACACATACCACACACACACACACACACACACACACACACACACACACACACACACTGTATGGGAGCCTCCCAGAGACAGTAGAGAACACACTGAGACACCAAATTCTCAGCAGAAAGAGATGTATTCCCCAGCAGGGCAAGCATGGCATTGGGAACCTGCCTCTGGGTCAGGCAAAGGCAGACAACATGCAGCAGGCTTTTTTTCAGCAGTGGGATTTTAAATAGAAAGGTGAAGTCTGTGCTACCATGAGTTGCTAAGATCTAATTGGACAGTTTGGCCAGTGTAGGCAAGTAATGAATTTGATGATTGGACTTTGGTGTTCAGTATCAGGAATGAGTCAGTTTCCTCAAAAGGGAATGAACTTTGGGAACTAAATTTAGGAATGTAATCTAATGATTTATCAAGGGAGAGGGAACTGAAAAGGGCAAAACCTGCCACTGCCATGTTTGCGATGATTGGGCTCCTGAGAGGGCAATTCACATGCACGCAAACCCACACACAGTATGTCAGAGAAATGCAGGTGGGTGGCATTGTCTCACAGTGCAAGGAACAAGACCAGAGAGCAGGAAGCATGGACACCAGGCCTTCCAGTTACACACAGATGGACCAAGTAGGACCACCAGGCCCTTCAAGCTGCTCCCAGAGCAACAAGCAAAAAAATATCGTGTCAAATACAGAGACTCAGGTTAAACTCAGAGCACCCAGAATCTCCTACAAGCCAACACCTGTCAAGGGCTTTTGAAATGCATGTTGTGATTTACACCCTACTACCCCTCTCTGTGGATTGTGATTCAGGCCACAGGCTCTGGTTTTCATTAGGAGGAATCAGAACAGCCTGTGTCCCATCTCACTCCTACAGGCTTCAGTTCTGCCTCTCAGATGCATTCAGGAAAATTTGCTTGTGCAGGTCACCCTGCAGGTGCAGCTTCCAGTGACCCAAGAACTGCTGGAATTGACACAGTAGGGTCAAAAAATTCACCACAGAACAGGGCATAATGAATACCTGTTGTTCAACTCATTGTTGTAATGGGCCAGGAATTCACGCAGTTCATTCCTGTCATTGTTCATCATCTGTAGCTGAAGTTTCAGTTTTTCCACCTGGTTCAGCTGATGCTCCTGCTCAGTGAGGAAGAAGGGTGTGGATGAAGCCTTCCTAGCAGCCCCTGTAGGTACATAAACACAAGTGAATTTGTACAGATGAATGGCATAAGCCAAGAAGATCAAGTGGATTCCCAAGAGGAGGCCTGAGGAAGAGGAAAAGCATGGAACCCAGTGAAGGCCTCAAAGATCAGAGCAGCTCTTCTTAAGGTGGGCCTCATAAGCCATGTGTCTGTCTCCAATCACTATGGCTAGATATATGCCTCAGCCCCTACTGCAGCCCCACTGGCCCTGAAAGGCATAAGCAAGGCCAGCCATGTTGGTTTGGAATCGTCAGCTCATACCTGATGTGTGGTGGTATTGTGTTCCCCAAAATATTGTGCACCCTAATAAACTTATCTGGGTTCAGAGATCAGAACAGCCACTAGATACAGAGGCTAGAAAATGGTGGCACTCACACCTTTAATTCTAGAATTCCAGAGGCAGAAATCCCTCTGGATCTCTGTGAGTTCAAGGCCACATTTGAAACAGCAACGCATGCTGACTTTAATCACAAATAGTGATGGCAGAAAGCAGAAAGATATATAAGGTGTGAGGACCAGAAACTAGAAGCTTTTGACTGGTTAAGCTTTCAGGCTTTTGAGCAGCAATTCAGCTGAGAGCCATTGGGATGAGGACACAGAACCTTCCAGTCTGAGGAAACAGGATCAGCTGAGGAACTGTCGAGGTGAGGAAGTTGTGGCTTGTTCTGCTTCTCTGATCTTCCAGCATTCACCCCAATACCTGGCTGTCATTTGATTTTATTAATAAGAATTGTAAGATTCGTGCTACACTGATGTGATGCAAGGAAGTCCAGGAGTCCCTAGTGGTTTTCACCTCCCAGCCCTGATCACCTGTGTCCATGACTAAAAGGAACTGAGTGTCTCAGACCTGGGTACATGGATGGAAAGTTTCCCTCCTTGGTATTTACACCAGATACAAAGTGCAACAAGATCCCATTCTGATCCTGCATTAGTGGTTCTGGGCCTCCTGTTGCATTCTTTGCCACTCAGAATGACCTGAAGGAGGTTCCTGCACAGCAGCTGCAGCCTTGACCAATCCTAACCCACTGCCAACTAACCATCAGGAATCCTCCACCTTGGATCTGCTCTATAGGACCCTGTATAAGCAGCGTAGGCCCATTGCTTCATGATCACAGCTACTGAACCCAATTACTAGAAGGTCCATTTCTAGCCTCACCTCCTCTTTAGAAAACTAGGGCTCTCTCTGCCAATCAGTGTGATCAGTCTTGCCAACATGTCAATTTGGTGAACAATATAAGCACTTAGTGAATGCCTCAAGGGCAGTTGGCATTGCCACAACACTGGTGATTTCACAGAAGATGCCACGGGCTCTCCAGGATACAATAGAATTTCCAGAGAATGGACTGTTAGGGCCACTGCCAATGGTCATCACCTATCTGATAACAAGCTCTTCCCTAATTCACCAATAGCCAAGCTACCCTTTCCAGGAGCCTTTCCTGAGACAGAGGGGAAGGCCTTCAGCACCTCTTCCTTCCAATCCTGAGATCTCTCTGATTCATTAGAATCTAGTTCATTCTAATTCAATAGTTCATCATGTGTGAAGAGCAAGACTCTTTTTCCAAATACTACACAGAAATGGCTCTTCTCATTCTGATGATCACCAGCTAATAAGATGGGAAATTAAGGATGTGAAGAAATTAGCTCAGGACAATGGGGAAGTAAAATCAGTTCCACAAGGTGAACAAGCACATCAGAGAAGATCTACAAGGCTGTTACCATATATGGGGGTGGTGGGGGATTATGTGGGTCTTGTCAGAACAATGATAAGTCACACAGGTAATGATGAAACTTTTGCCTAAAGCTGCAGCAGAATACATTCCAGCCATCATGATATTAGCAAAGGTGTTATCAAGTACTGATAGGTATGACTGAAAATACCTAAGGATTGGTATATGAGCCCTCAGTCACCAAGAACAAATACAGGAAGAGTGATGTCCCAGTCCTGCACTCAAGGTAGAGGAAAGAGGACTGGCTAGTGAGAGGGCAGGAACTCAGAAACCTTAGGGGTCACTGACATGCAGCAATGCTTTCGGGCTCCTGCCCTGCTAGTGGTTGTTATTTAAAATGTGAGACTCTCTAGCTCTCCCTGTTACTAGTGACACACACCAAAAGAAATCCAGTGTGGGTGAAGTTCAGGGCTGGAAATGAAAACTCTTCAGTCCTTCTGTGCTTCCTTCCCACTCAGAGTGAAAGCAGAGGGCCCTCAACAGAGCAGCTTCAGCCTTGACCATCCCTGGCTCTCTGCCAAACTAACTCTGGGTCTGCCCTTGAAGAACTCAGAGGACCAGGATAGGCCCATCATTGCTTCTCAGAAACTCTCCCCTCCTGAGCCTCACTCCTGGAAGGATCAGCTGAAGCCTTCCTCCTTCAGGAAGCTCCCCATCCCTTTCCCAGGACTCACTGTGCTTTCCCCAGAACCATTTGTTTCTTGATGTGTGACATGGAGACTGAAGGCCATCTTCCTTCTGCCTTCCTCTGATCTCCCTGTGCTCGCCATCCTGTCTCCCAAGAATCCTGTTCAGTCTAGTCAGCATGTCTGTAGGTGAAAGACGAGACACTGCCCCAATGCCCCAATGACAGTTGGTGTTGCCACAACACTGGTGACATCACATGGAATGCCAGGGCTCTCCAGGAGACAGTGGAATGTCTATGTGCTGACGTCACATGGTCTAGCTATTACTTCCCTGCTACCCTTTGCTTTGCATTTAATACCCATCTAAGAGTAAGCACACACCATATTTGTCTTTCTGGATCTCTGTTACCTCCCTGAGTATCTAGTTCCATCTATTTGCCTACAAATTTCATGATGTCACTTTTTTTTAACCACTGAGTAATATTCCATTTTGTAAAGGTACCACATTTATATTATCCATCCTTCAGTTGAGGGCCATCTAGGTTGTTTCCTGGTTCTGGCTATTACGAATAATGCTGCTATAACCATGGTTGAGCAAGTGACCTGTGGCATGATTGAGCATCTTTTGGGTATATGCCCAAGAGTGGTATTGCTGTGTCTTAATGTTGGTAGATTCCTAATTTTCTGAGGTACTGCCCTACTGATTTCCATAGTGGCTGTACAAGTTTGCACTCCACCAACAGTGGAGGAGTGTTCCCCTTGCTCCACATCCTCTCCAACATAAGCTGTCATTAATGGATTTGATCTTAGTCATGCTGACAGGTGTAAGATGGTATCAGTGTCATTTTGATTTGCATTTTCCTGATGGCTAAAGATTTTGAACAATTCTTTAAATTTCTTTTTGCCATTTAATATTCTTCTGCTTCGAATTCTTGTTTAGATCTGTACCCCATTTTTTAAATTGGATTACTTGGTAATGTGATGTCTAGTTTTTTGAGTTCCTTATATATTTTGGAGATCATCCCTCTATCAGATGTGGGCTTGTGAAGATCTTTTCCCATTCTGTAGGCTGTCATTTTGTCTTGTTGACCCTGTGTAGCACAAATCTTAACAGTTCTTATTAATAAAAACAAACCTGGAGCTAGGTATTGGGGTGAATGCTGAAAAATCAGAAAAACAGAACAAGCCACAGCTAACCTCAGCTCGCCAATTTCTCAGCCAATCCTGTTTCCTCAGACTGGAAGCCTCTGAGTCCTCATCTGAATGGATCTCATCTGAACTGCTCCTAAAAGCTAAAAGCTTAAAAAAGGCTATAATACCTGGTCCTCACACATTATATACCTTTCTGCTTCCTGACTTCACTTCCTGGGATGAAAGGCATGAGCACCTGGAACTAGAGCCTTTTTTAAAGCTTTTAACTTTTATAGATATAATCAGGAATAGGAAGCATCCCTTATATACAACTCACATCAGATCCCATATGGGTCTGCCAGGCCCTGTAGCACAAGGTAATAACTAGATCAATAAAGTATGGATAGGAAATGTGCTGGAGGCTAGACAATTTGAGAAAAAATATCATGTCAATAGTAAAGATTTAAAAAAGGATTAATCTATAACCTGGCAACAAGCCAAGGAAATTGTAAGGAAATGTCCTCCTATTTCTTTTTACAATCAGACTCCATTACCAGCAGAATGTAACCCAAAGGGTACTTAGAGGAATGAAATCTGGCAGATGGATGTGTTTCACTTTGCGGAATTTGAGAAACTGAAATATGTATACCACACTATTGATACTTATTCAAGATTTCAATGGGCAACTGCTCTGAGTTCTGAAAAAGCTGATACAGTAATCATGCCTTTGCCAGAAGTTATAGCCAACATGGATATTCCTGGACAAATTAAAACTGACAATGCTCCAGCATATGTCTCTGGTAAAATGAAACAGTTTTTTGCTTATTACAATATAAAGCATATTACAGTTATACCACGTAATCCTACAGGCCAAGCAGTCATAGAAAGATCAAATTGAACTCTAAAGGATATGCTAAATAAACAGAAAGAGGTAACAAAAAACCCAGAAATAGATTACATAATGTTCTATTAACTTTGAATTTTCTCAATGCTAATGAGAAAGGAACAACAGCTGCAGAGAGACATTGGATAATAGAAAAAAAACTACAGGATTAAATCAGCTTATATACTTTAAAGATATGCTGACCACAGAATGGAAACCAAGATATGTTTTCCATTGGGGATGAGTTTTTGTTTTTGTTTCTATAGGAGAAGAAAAGCTATGGATACCATCAAAATTGATAAAGGTTCGATTTGAACAAGAGAGACCTCTTAATTAGAGGAGGTGATAGTTCATCAACCAGCATGACCATCCAATTTAAACTAACTTACAACACTAACAAATGCTTTTCATTTAATCAGAGAGAACTTGCTGAAAAGAACCTCTCTAAAGTTAGGCTTGGGGAAGTGTTTTTGTCTTTATCTTTTAGGAGAATGAAGGCTAAGGAATCTGAAAAACACTGGACAAATGAGAAATCTAAAAAGTACAAATCATCTGGGAAAAAATGTCCCAAGAAAAGGAGTAAACTAGCCTATTGGTATATCACATGTAAAATTTCATAAGTCTTCCTAAATGTTAGTTTCTGCTCTTCTCTACACACACTTACCACAAATGGTCTTCTTGTACTTCCAGTTCAATTATAAATTAAAGCTGCCTTTGGAGTTGAAGTATGGCTCTCTCCTTCTCTAACCCCAAACATTTAAACAGAAAATGCTAAATCTCTGTATCATGTCAGAAGAAAGAGCCATCTTCTGATATGGGATAGAAGAAAACCAAAAAATTAAAGGACTATTCTATTGCCACTAATCTCAATTCTTTTGTTCTATTTTCATTCTTTAAACTTTTTTTATATACGAATTTTATATCAATATAATATTTATATATATGTATTTATCTTTTGTCTTGATATTAATGGTAATATAGAATAATAGCAAATTCTAGAATAAAGGCTTTATTTCCTGCTTATACATGTTTTTGTGTTAGAATCTCTATCAGTTTTCTGCAGGGAATCATGACCAGGCCTAACATCAAATTTGAAGTCTCCAGAAATATGATGGGGCCCCACAACGATGATTCCACATGGACAATAATAATACCACTAAGCTGACAAACATCACCAAAAGATCAGCTTTGGACTACAAAGTGCTCAGAACAATTTCAAGATGGCTAGCTGTGAACAGACTACTCAAACAAGGACTTGAGATAAGCCCTGCACTTTGGCATTATGCAGAGACTGGACAACAAATGATATAGCTACCTCTCCTGGAAGTTGACAATTAACCTAATTTTTTTTTCTTTTCAAGATCCCCTAAAGATGCCTTTGCCCACAAACAGCAGGAATCAATTTTAAGAACATAATGTCCACATTCCCAAGAGGTGGGACAGGTGGTTTTGGTCTTTCAATGGGTTTTGGGTTTGGGATAATTTTCATTGTTTAGGATTTTTGGTTACAAGTTGTTGATGCTAATGGTCAGGAAAAGGGCTAAACAAAGGAGATTATATTTAAGGTTCTTGTTTAAACAAAAAGAAAAGAAAAAGGGGATATAGATAAAAGGTACATTATTGAATATACTCTGAAAAAAAGATATAGAAATGATAGAATAAAGGGTGGTTTTTTGAATCTACTTTTAAATGACAACTACTAGTTTTAAATACATTACTTTGGATTGGATTTTTACATATTGTATACAAATTTTATATATTTGGATTGATATTGTTAGAAAATGCCATACATATATTTCTAATATTGTTCAAGATAATTGTACTTATACTGTTCATTTAACAATGTAATACAATTTGCTGATCCTTGAGTGTTATTACCAAGTATTAGGATACAAAGAAATGAAAGTTAGTAGTTAAACATTACAATCGAAATTGGAGTTATGTTAGGTATGTTCAAGGTCAAGCACAGATATATTTTAGTTAGACAGGTCATCTTCAAATCCTTCAGAGATCTACAGAATGTGGCATTTAAACTGTTTTAGTAGCAGATTTTATTTTTTTTTTGACTATGAGACATGTCGGCTCCTGGCAGCACCAATCTATTTCAGGGAAGATGTGGGCATTGAAGAAACAGCATATGGAGTTAACTTTCATTGTGGCAAAAGTTAGCCACTGGCAGCAAAGTGCCCTCACATCAACTGCTGACAGTATGCTATCCAAAATGGACAAACAGGACACAAAACAAAGGACTACCAATTCTTGCCAAAACAAGTGTGGTTGTGGCTTTAGCAAAAGGTGTCCTCTGAGGCCAGAACAATATGGCACCATCACTGAAGTGGCTTTGCAATCTGAAAAAGGTACAGTGCCCCCTTTCTTCGAAGGCAGCTGAACAGACAGTGGACTGATGGCTTCTGGTGTACAGTGGAACAGTAGCTGTAACAGTCATTTTTGAAAGAGTACCTAGGCTGATGGAGTCTAACCTCTCAATGGTAGACTGGCATTTAATAATGAAGGTGAAGCTACCCACAAGCCAAGAAGAATGGGAAGCTGAATGCCAAAAACACCAGCAATTTCCAGAATTTAAAATCCTGAATCATGACAGGACACTGATGAAATTCAAGTTTATCTGGTACATGGACTACTTGCACCAAATGTGAGGTCAAGCTGTAGACCTTGCATACATCCTGCTTCCCAAATGATTCTGTCAGATACACCAAGCTTATAGGCTGAAGATCATGCCCCAACACTGCAGAGAAACCTCAGGTGACTGTCCAGGCAGATGGCTGTTTCCATCAACTCACATTTTTTGGAAGTCGCCTTTTGTACTTCCTATTTTACTAGGTAATATTATTTCCTTCTAGGGTCTCAGAGGCAGTTGAAGATTACATAGTCACAGTTATAGTTTTCCTTGTTAAGAATTTCAAAAAAGAAATTCACTAAGGAGCTATAAAATGTAAAAGTTTGAAAGACATCATAGGATAGTTTTCTAATACAAGTTAGGATAGAAAGTGAATTCGGTACATTTTGAACTCACCAAAATAGGATAGATAATGGAATATTTTCTCTAAGTTTGTCAAATGCAAATGGACTAGACATTGTTGATGTATTGTTTGTATGTTGTATATAGTGATTGTACTTATTGTATATAGTTTTTCTTATATTATACTTTTTATTATTTATATTTTTATTAGACAATAAATGTGGTGATTTTTTTGTATGTTAAACAATAAAGCATGCCTGGATATCAAGGGTAAAAAGGCCAGCCATTTTTAAGTAAACATAGAAGTCAGGCAGTGGTAGAAGATGCCCTTAATCTGATCATTTATCAGGCAGAGTCTCTGTGTGTTCAAGGCCATACTAGGGAACAGACTCAAGTGTGGTTACACACGCCTTTAATCCTAATACCACCCATAGAGATCTGGAGGTCTGTACAGATAGGAAGTGACAAGGAAGTGAGGTAGCTGGGCTAAGATCCAGTGAGAAGGCAGCAAGGCAATAATGGCACAGGTAGACAGGAAGTAGCTCATTTTCGAAGCTGCAACATGGTGAGGTATGGTTAGCTGGTGGCTATTCCTCTTTCCCAGATCTCTAAGGCTTTCACCCCTATATTTGGCTATTGTTTTTTATTTAATAAGACTGCTTAGAAATTCATCTACAGCCCTGTCTTTGCCTCACAGAAGTTTCTCGGTTGCAGGAGGTCCCATTTATTAATTGTTGCTCTCAGTCTATGCTACTTCTCTTCTATCAGGTTCAGTGCAACTGGATTTATGTTGAGGTCTTTGATCCATTTGGACTTGAGTTTTGTGCATGGGGATAGATAATGGATCAATTTGCATTCTTCCACATGTCGACATCCAGTTATGCCAGCACCATTTGTTGAAGATGCTTTCTTTTTTTCATTGTGTAATTTTAGCTTCTTTATCAAATATCAAGTGTTCGTATGTCTTTGGATTAATGTCAGGGTCTTTGATTCAGTTCCATTAATCTATGTGTCTATTTTTATGCCAATACCAAGTTGTTTTATATGATAGCTCTATGTTGGAGCTTGAGGTCAGAGATGGTGATGCCAGACATTCCTCCATTGTACAGGGTTGCTTTGGCTATCCTGTGTTTTTGTTTTTCCGTATGAAGTTGAAAATTGTTCTTTCAAATTCTGTGAAGACTTTTGTTGGGATTTTGATGGAGATTAAGGTGAATCTGAAGATTGCCTTTGGTAAGATTACCATTTTTACTATGCTGATTCTACCTATCCAAGAGCATAGGAGATCTTTCCATTTTCTGGTATCTTCAATTTTTTTCTTTATAGACTTAAAGTTCTTATCAGACAATCTGCCTCAAGGTATTTTATGTTGTTTATGACTATTGTAAATGGTAGTATTTCTCTGATTTCATTCTCAGCCCATTTATCATTTATACATAGGAGGGCTACTGATTTTTTTTAGTTAATTTTGTATCCTGCCACATTACTGAAGGTGGTTATCAGCTGAAGGAGTTCCCTGGTAGAATTTTTGTGGTCACTTATGTATACTATCATATCATCTGCAAAAAGTGAATGTTTAACTTCTTCCTTTTCAATTTATATCCCCTTGATCTCCTTTTGTTGTCTTATTGCTTTGGCTAGAACTTAAGGACTATATTCATAGATATGGAGAGAGTGAGCAGCCTTGTCTTGTTCATGATTTTAGTGGAATCCCTTTGAGTTTCTCTTCATTTAGTTTGATGTTGGCTGCAGGCTTGGTGTATGTTACCTTTATTATGTTTAGGTATGTTCCTTGTATCCCTGATCTCTCTAAGACTTTTATCATGAAGGGGTATTAAATTTTGTCAAAGGCCTTTTCAGCATTTAATGAGATGATCATGTGGGTTTTTTTTTCTTTTAGTTTATTTATATGGTGGACTATATTTACAGACTTTCATATGTTGAACCACTGAAACAAAAGGTTATAGAAATGATAGGACAAAGAGTAGATAATTGAATCTACTCTGAAAAGAAAAAGGAGAGGTTATAGATATGATAAGATAGAAAGCTATATTATTGAATCTACTTTTAGAAGGCAACTACTAGGTTTAAATATATCACATTGGATTGGATTTTTGTATATTGTATATAAATTATATATATTGATACAAATTTGAGATTGATATTGTAGAAAATGCTGTACATATATTTCTATTGTTGTTCAAGGTATCATTCCTATACAGTTCATTTCACAATGCAATACAATTTTCTAGTCCTTGAAAGTTATTGCCAACTATTTAGGATAATAAAGAAATACAAGTTAGTAGTTAGTCATTACAATGAAACCTGTAGCCATATTAGGTCTGTTCTCAAGGTGAAGCAGAAATATATTTTAGATAGACAGGTCATCTTAAAGCACTTCAGAGATCTGTAGAATATGGCATTTAAGATGATAACATAGTTTTTTTTTCCTTTGTTTTTTTTAATGACTATGAGATATATCTGCTCCTGGCAGCATCAATCTACTTCAAAGGAGATAATGAGCATTGAAGATACTCAATGAGGTATTCACTTTCTTTGTGGCAAAAGTTAGCCACTGGGCAAGAAAGTGGCCTTACATCAACTGCTGACGATATGCTGTCCAAATGGACAAAAGCAGGATACAAAAGAAAGGACTGTTGAGCCTTGCAAAGACAAGGTAGGACATCCCTTCAGAAAAATCCTGCTTCATAGATGAGTCTGTCTGATATGCTAGACCTGTAGGCCAAAGATAGATGCCTGAATGTTGCAGAAATCTTGAGTGACTGTCCAGGCAACCAGCTGTTTCTGTCATTTCTCACATTTTTTTGGAAGTCGCTTAGTTATACTTCCTAATATTATTTACTTCTTGGGTCTCTGAAGGAGTTGAAGATTAGATAGTTACAGTTTTCCTTGTTAAGAAATTCAGGAGAGGACCTTACTAAAGGGGTGCAAAGTGTATAAGTTTGAAAGACATCAATGGATAGTTTTCGTTTGGTAATGCAAATTAGGATAGAAGGTGAATTAGACACAGTCCTTTGTATTCACAAAGATAGGATAGATAATGGTGTGTTCTTTCAGAATTTGTCAAATGAAAATAGACTAGACATTTTTGATGTATTTAGTGCCTTTCTATGTTATATATAGTTATTGTACTTATTGTATTTATTGCCTATATGTATTGTATATAGTTATTGAACTTATTGTATGTAATTTTTCTTATATTAGTTATAACCTTTTTATTTTAGATAAAAAGAGGGGAAATGTGGTAATATTTTATTTCTGCTCTAATAAAGTTTGCCTGAAAATCAAAAGGAGGTGCTAGCCATTAGTGAACCACAGATGTCTGGAGGTCTGTACAGACAGAAAGGAAGTGATAGAGCTGGGTGGATAGTGATACTGTGGGGTGAGAGAAGCACTAGCTCTCTTTTGGTTGGGGTCCCACAGGGGTGAGAACTAGTGGCTTGCTGCTCTGCCTCTCTGATCTTTCAGCTCTTATCCCAATATCTGACTCTGGGTTTTTTTTTATTATTATTATTATTATAAGACCTCTTAAAATTTCTGTTACATTGAGCTCTAGCTGTGGTCTCAACTAGGTGATAAGCTTTTTATTCCCCATGGTGATTTTTTTCTCTTCTGGAATAAAGTTTGCTTCTAGTTTCATAGAATTTGGTGGTCTGTTCCCTTTTTGCACATGCGTAGATCTAACAAAATTACTATTTTAGTTGCTTTTATAGTCTAAATATTATGCTTATCTCTGATATGGAGCTGGTGAGATTTTTACCTAGGATGGTGGCTTCTTTTTCACTCAAGTAATGGTGATGTTTGCTGTAAATAAACTCTTTAATTCCATGAGGTTTGATTTATTAAGTTTTGTTTTTAATGTCTGTACTATTGCCGTCCTGTTCAGAAAGTCATTTACTCTGTCAGTGAGGTCAAGCCTGTTTTCTACTTTCTCTTCTGTCAGATTCATGGTATTTGGCCATTGATTCCTGTGGAGTTGAATTTTGTGCTTGGTCTGGATAAAGGATTGAGTTTCATTCTTCTCATTAGAGCTATCGGGATTGATTTGCATAATTTGTACTATTGCTGTCAAATCCCTGAGATGTACTGTGGACTTCTTGTTAAATGACACATGTGTATATGGATATAAATTTATGTATAGGTTCTTACTTATATTTCATTAGTCAATGACTATTTTTGGATGGCAAAGCCATACTCTTTTTAATTCCTTAGGTCCTGTAGTTTAACTGAAAATCTGTGGTAGTACTACTTCAAGTACTATTGTTGTTGCTTATGATCACTTTGACTAATCTGGGTTTTTGTACTGAACTATGAAATTTAAGTTGGGATAAATCAGGAAAGGCATTTGTGTGCTAGAAATATATCCTTAATGTGGTTATGTGAAGGCATTAGGAGTCTATCATCAACGTGTTCAACTATAAACTTACAGGTGAAAGGGTAGCAAAAGTCTGTAGGTCACGAAAAGTTAATATTTTAACTTTCTCCCTCTGCCACCAGTTTCCTGACAGGATGGGGGAAGAGTATTCATAGCTATTCAATATGCATCACAGCTTGAAATGCCTGGTAAGAGGAAAGTCCTTTTTGATCTGAGAGTTTCTCTGGGGCAGTGAGAGAGGGGAGGCCTTAATTTGCACAAGAAACAAAGCAATTAAAAAGGTGAAGGAAACAGTTCAAGACCTGAAAAGGGAAAGAGAAACAATGAAGAAGACACAAACAGAGGGAATGCTGGAAATAGAAAATCTGAGTAAAAAACAGGAAACACAGATGCAAGCATAAGGAACAGAATAAATGAGATGGAAGAGAGAACCTCTGGAGTAGAGGATACAATAGAGGAAATAGATTCATCAGTCAAAGAAAATACCAAGCCAAAAAAGTCATAACTTTGAAAGCCAAAAGGACCTGGACAGATGTAAGCCAGACACTAAGAGACCATGGATGCCAGCCTAGAATAATATACCCAGCAAAACTTTCAATCAACATAGACAGAGTAAACAAGACATTCCAAGACAAAACCAGATTCAAACAATACCTATCCACAAATCCAGCCCTGGAAGAAAAGCCCTGGAAGGAAAATTCCAACCTAAAGAAGTCAGATACACCCTCAAAAACACAGGCAATAAATAACCCCACAGCTGTAAACCCCAAAGAAGAGAAGTACATACACACTACCACCAAAAGATAACAGGAACTAACAATCACTGGTCATTAATATCCCTTAATATCAACAGACTTAATTCACCTATAAAAAGACACAGGCTAACAGGACGGATATGAAAGAAGGACCCATCTTTCTGCTGCATACAAGAAACACACTTCAATATCAAAGATAGACACTACCTCAAAATAAAAGGCTGGGAAAATTCTTTCCAATCAAATGGTCTTAAGAAGCAAGCTGGTGTAGCCATCCTAATATCCAGCAAAATAGACTTCAAACTAAAATCAATCAAAAGAGATCAAGAAGGACATTACATACTCATCACAGGAAAGATCCACCAAGATGAAGTTTCAGTTCTGAACATGTATGCTCCAAATACAAAAGCACCCACATTCATTAAAGAAACATTACTAAAACTTAAAACCCCACACATTTGTAGTGGGAGATTTCAAGACACCACTCTCACCAAAAGACAGATCTAACAGACTGAAACTTAACAAAGAAATAAAGGACCTAACAGATGTTATGACTCAAATGGACTTAAGAGATAATTACAGAACATTCCATCCTAACAAAAAAGAATATACCTTCTCTCAGTACCCCATGGAACCTTCTCTAAATCTACTACATACTTGGCCACAAAGCAAATCTCAACAGATACAAAAAAAATGGAATAACCTCCTGTGTTCAATCAGACCACTGTGGTTTAAAGTTAGATTTCAAAAACAACAAAAATTACAGAAAGCCTACAATCTCATGTTAACTGAATAATGCTCAACTGAATCCCCAATGGGTTAAGGAAGAAATAAAGACTTCCTAGAGATCAATGAAAATGAATATACCACATACCCAAATTTATGGGACACTATGAAAGCAGTGCTAAGAGGAAAATTAATAGCACTAAATGCCCACATAAAGAAGTTGGAGAAATCTCACACTAGTGATGTAACAGCACACGTGAATGCTCTAGAACAAGAAGAAAAGTCAACCAGGAGGAATAGATGCCAAGAAATAATAAAGCTGAGAGCTGAAATCAATAAAATAGAAACAAAGAGAAGAACAATACAAAGATTCAATGAAACAAAGAGTTGGTTCTTTGAGAAAGTCAACAAGATAGACAAGCCCTTATCCAAACTAACCAAAAGGCAGAGAGAGACAAATTAGCAAAATCAGAAATGAAAAGGGAGACAAAACAACTAACAACGAGGAAATCCAGAGAATCACAAAGTCATACTTCAAAAACCTGTATTCCACAAAACTGGAAAATCTAAAAGAAATGGATAATTTTCTAGATAGGTACTACATACCTGAGTTAAATCAAGATCAGATAAATTATTTAAATACACCAATAACCCCTAAGGAAATAGATACAGTCATTAAAAGTCTCCCAACCAAAAAAAGCCCAGGACCAGACTATGTCCATGACTAAAAGGAACTGAATGTCTCAGACCTGGGTACATGGATGGAAAGTTTCTCTCATTGGTATTTACATCAGATATAAAGTGCAACAACATCCCATTCTGATACCGCATTAGTGGTTCTGGGCCTCCTGTTGCAGTCTTTGTCACTCAGAATGAACTGAAGGAGGTTCCTGCACAGCAGCTGCAGCCTTGACCAATCCTGGCCCTCTGCCAACTAACCATCAGGAATCCTCCACCTTGGATCTGCTCTTTAGGAACCCAGATAAGCAGCATAGGCCAAATGCTTCATGATCACAGCTACAGGACCCCATTACTAGAAGGCCCAGTTCTAGCCTGACATCCTCCTTAGGAAACGAGGCCTCTCTCTGCCAATCATTGTGATCAGTCTTGCCAACATGTCAGTTGATGAACTCTATAAGCATGTAGTGAATGCCTCAAGGGCAGTTGGCATTGCTACAACTCTGATGATTTCACAGAAGATGCCAAGGGCTCTCCAGCATACAATAGAATTTCCAGAGAATGGACTGTTAGGGCTAATTCCAATAGTCATGACCTATCTGATAACAAGCTCTTCCCCAATTCACCAATATCCAAGCTTCCCTTTCCAGGAGCCTTTCCTGAGACACAGGGGAAGGCCTTCAGCACCTCCTCGTCCCAATCTCGAGATCTCTCTGATTCATTAGAATCTAGTTCATTCTAATTCAATAGTTCATCATGTGTGGATGGCAAGATTCTTTTTCCAAACTGCCCAGGAATGGCTCTTCATCCTGATGATTTCCAGTTAATAAGATGAGAAATTAAGGATGCTAAGAAATTAGCTCAGGATTATGGGGAAAGAAGATCAGTTCCATGAGATGAACAAGCACATTAGAGAAGATCGACTGGGCATTTACAATGTATGGATGTGGTGGAGGATTATGTGGGTTCTGTCAGAACAATGATGTCACATAGGACATGATGGAACTTTTGCCAAAACCTCCAGCAGAATACATTTCAACCATTATGATGTTAGCAAAGGTCTTATCAACTACTGATAGGTATGACTGAAAATACCTAAGGACTGGGCATCCCCAGGTGAGCCCTCAGTCACCAGGAACAAATCCTTACAAAAAGATTGATGTCCCAGTCCAGCACTCAAGGTAGAGGAAAGAGGACTGGCTAGTGAGAGGGCAGGAACTCAGAAACCTTAGGGGTCAATGACATGCGGCAATACTTGGTGGCTCCTGCCCTGCCAGTGGCTGTTATTTAAAATTTGAGAACCTCTAGCTCTGGCCAGGGGACTGTACTCTCCCTTTTATTAGTGACACACACCAAAAGAAATCCAGTGTGGGTGAAGTGCAGGGCTGGAACTGAAAGCTTTTCAGTCCCTCTGTGCTTCCTTCCCACTCAGAGTGAAAGCAGAGGGCCCTCAACAGAGCAGCTTCAGCCTTGACCATCCCTGGCTCTCTGCCAAACTCACCATGGATAATCCTCATCTCTGGGTCTGCTCTTAAAGAACTCAGAGGACCAGGATAGGCCCATCATTGCTTCTCAGAAACTATCCCCTCCTGAGCCTCACTCCTGGAAGGATCAGCTGAAGCCTTTCTCCTTCAGGAAGCTCCCCATCCCTTTCCCAGGACTCACTGGGCTTTCCCCAGAACCATTTGTTTCTTGGTGTGTGACATGGAGACTGAAGGCCATCTTCCTTCTGCCTTCCTCTGATCTCCCTGTGCTCGCCATCCTGTCTCCCAAGAATCCTGTTCAGTCTAGTCAGCATGTCTGTAGGTGAAACACGAGACACTGCACCAATGCCCCAATGACAGTTGGTGTTGCCACAACACTGGTGACATCACATGGAATGCCAGGGCTCTCCAGGAGACAGCAGAATGTCCATGTACTGATGTCACATGGTCTAGCTGTTACATCCCTGCTACCTATCTCTCCCAACATTGACTTGAAACTAAGATGCCATTTCCATGAGCGTCTGTTGTCACAATGGAAGCCTTTAGGTAGATCTTCCTTCCAAAGTCAGAAATCTAGCCCTCTGCTTCATTAGAAACTTTATCTAAGTGAAGTTGCATCTCATATATTTTCCTTCTTCCCAAAATATTCTTTTTATATTCCCATACCTTAAACCATTATATCTTAGACCCCATATAAACTTTATTTATATTCAAATCTCATAACTTATTATTTTTTATGGGTGCAATGAACTTTATTGATGGTGTTCAAGAGAATAGGGCTCCCTAAACCCCTCGTATTGTTCTGGGGGTCTGGGATGGAAACTGTGAGGGAGATGCTCAGTATCGGGGACTGAGATGGGACAGGAACTGCTCAGCAGCCGAGGGTCTCTCTTGCTGTCCTTGCTGGGGTGGGTGGTCCAGGGTAGGCTTCTTAATCCTTGGAGGCCATGTAGGCCATGGGGTCTACCACCCTGTTGCTGTATCCAAATTCATTGTCGTACCAGGAAATGAGATTCACAGAGTTGTCATTGCGAGCAATGCCAGCCCCAGCATCGAATGTAGAAGAGTGGAGGTCACTGTTGAAGTCACAGGAGACAACCTGGTCCTCAGTGTAGCCCAGGATTCCCTTTAGTGGGCCCTCTGATGCCTGCTTCACCACCTTCTTGATGTCATCATACTTAGCAGGTTTCTGGAGGCGGCATGTCAGATCCATGATGGACACATTGGGGGTAGGAACACGGAAGGCCATGCCTGTGAGCTTCCCGTTCAGCTCTGAGATGACCTTGCCCACAGCCTTGCCGGCAACAGTGGATGCAAGGATGATGTTCTGAGCAGCCCCATGGCCATCACGCCACAGCTTCCCAGAGCGGTCATCCACGGTCTTCTGGGTGGCAGTGATGGTGTGGACTGTGGTCATGAGTCCTTCCACAATGCCAAAGTTGTCATGGATGACCGTGGCCAGGGTGGCTAAGCAATTGGTGAGACAGGAAGCATTGCTGATAATCTTGAGTGAGTTGTCGTACTTCTCATGGTTGACACCCATCACAAACATGGGGGCATCAGCAGAAGGGGCAGAGATGATGACCCTTTTGGCCCCACCCTTCAAGTGGGCCCCAGCCTTCTCCATGGTGTTGAAGACACCAGTGGACTCCACAACATACTCGGCACCAGCCTCACCCCACTTGATGTTGGCAGGATCTCACTCCTGGAAGATGATGATGGCCTTCTGTTGATGACCAGCTTCCCGTTCTCAGCCTTGACTGTGCTGTTGAACTTGCCATGGGTAGAGTCATACTGGAACATGTAGACCAAGTAGTTGAGGTCAATGAAGGGATCATTGATGGCAACAATATCAACTTTGTCAGACTGCAAGGCAGTCCTGGCAATCAGGCATCCAATTCGGCCAAATCTGTTCACTCTGACCTTCACCATCGTGTCTCAGGAACGAGTCTGGCACTGCACAGAAAATGTGCCTGTCTCTGGAACAGGGAGGAGCAGAGAGCCCAAATCTCATAACTTATTTAAGCTGTAAAGTTCCATATTTTTATATCTTAAACAACTTCTTCAGAACCAATACAGAATTCATTCAATCTCTCACGACATACTTAAGCCTTTAAGATTTTATAAACATATTACATCTTAAAATACCCTTTTTTTCTATTTAATTCATTGAGTTATCTTCTGCTTGAAATTTGATCCAGTTTTTTCTTGTTATGCCCAGATTGTGACACCAAAGAGACCACTGAAGACCATAGGTATCCAGAATGCAACAGCAAGGTTTATTCTGTAGATACAAGTCTAGACAGAGAACTCATTCCTACACCCAATACAGTGAGGCAGGGAGGAGTTGCTCTTTCTTTGTGAGGCTAGCTTTTTAAAGGCAAAAACCACAAGCCCTTCATGGCAGTTGGAGTTGTTGGGGGTTTTGCACGGGTGCAACTTGGATTGGTTTATTTTTATCCCTGTTCTCTTTTAATTGGGTGAGGGTATGTAACCTTTGATTTACTGGTTGGTGGTTACAATTATCACTTTGGGGGCAGTCCAGCACAAGTCCCAGGCTTTGTCCTTGAGCCATCATGAGGTCTGGCTGGCCTAGGACATATTGACTGTGGGGGCTGGCTCAGTGGTCTAGACTCAGTCCTTGACTCATGCACATAACTCTAAGTTGGTGAGGGGTCCCAGACAGTAAACATCTGGCTGAACTTTGAGCAGTCAGAGTACATGCAGAAAGGGAGCTATTGCAAGGACTATGTCTTTTCTTTACGGCCCTCCCAGAGACTGCTTGCTCAGTCTCAGGAAACTGAAATTGAGGCCTGATCTCTGAGAGAAGACTGAGCAGCCTGTTATGGCATCTGTTTGGTCAATTCATTTCATTTCTTATCTTAACCAATAATAATTTGTAACCAGTTCTCTTAAATGATGGCAAGTATTTGTAACCATTGAACAGAAATGACCAAAATCCATGTTTTTTTTTGTTTTGTTTTGTGTGTGTGTGTGTGTAAAAATAATTTTTTTTTAAACATAATGTATCCTTAACATTTTTTCTATGCATTACCAGGACAGAGGGGGGTTAAAATGGGAAGTCAATGAAGAACTTGGCTTGGGAAGGAAGGGAGGGGGATTTAGATTCAGAGTGTGCAGGCAGTAAACTCCCAACCGCCCCTATCTCCCCCACCTCTGCCTGCTTGTAGAGACTGTGTATTTTCACCTTCTGTGAGAGCCACGGTAGCCTGTCCTGAATGCTAATACCAGCCCTGCCTGTCTTGGCCTGAGTCTGTTCCAAGCTTCAGTGAGGGAGTCATTTGCCCACTCAGAGCCTCTTCTGCAGGGTCTGCTCACTCTGGGAACTCACCTTCCAGCTTGGGTAATTAGGGGAGGTGCCTGAAGGCTACAGTTATCATCCTTGCCTGGGGACAACTTCCTATCCAGTCATCCTGTCCTGCTACAGAAGCTCACTGCTGAGAAGAGGAAGGTCAGTTGGGATGGAGCAGACTCAGACCATAAGTACACAGTTCAAATACTGGTCTGTCATTTCTGAGACTGACTTTATCATCAAGAGTCTCTCATCATGAGCTTGTATTGTGCCATCTGCAGTACCCGGGGCTTGGAGAACAGAGCTGTTTGAAATTTTGCCCTTCAGCCTGTCCCTTCACCATCACTAAACACACCTTGAAGTGGGATTGACCAGAAAGCAGAAAGCCATGAGGCTTTCCCTACCTCCTCTCATCATGGTAGTTGATGACTTCTGAGGCTGTCACTCACTGGATAGCAGTGTAACCGCAGTTTTTCCTGTCCCATTTGGAAAGGGGAGTCCTGGTGCTGACTCTGCCTCAACTGTTGTCACCTTTTCTAACAAACGCAAGTGGAGAATAGGAGTAGAAAATAATGGACATATCCCACTCTGAAAAAACCCCTCCTCAATCTCCCACTGTCCTTTGCCTTCATGTCTCTGTCCTTCCCTGACAGTTTATCCCTGAAGGCTGGTCACAGATTTCCAGCAACTCCTTCTAATTCAGGGTCATTATTATTGGGGTTTTTTTTTTATTCTTCTTTTCCATGGATGCTTTTTTCCTGCCCTAATTTGACATTTGAAGAATAGTGGGAAGGAGGCATCTTAGAGATCTGTGGAGTTAGTCAAGTTATCACAGTGTTCCATTTCTCTATCATATTGCGGATGGAAACCTACACTTAAGAATTGTGGCATGCAAAAAGAAAGAGAACAAAACTGAATTAACATCTTTTTCTACTGGTCCTCAACCAATCGAATCTCAGTTACAAAAAAAAACTGTGGGGAAATTCTTCCAGTTATTTCTAGATGAAGTGTAAGCACTGTGCTACCCTCAATGCCAAACAGGATTTAGGGAGGGTGGCCTCAATTAAACCAGATATCTAATCACAGAGCTTGAAATCCTTTTCCTGTCCACAGCAGCAGAATCTGGAAGAAGAGAAGTTATACAGTTACCCAGCAGGGATGCCTCTTTGCTGTCTCAGGCTGGATGCCTGTGGCAACAGTTGCAATAGGAACAGCCCACCTGGAAGTCTTCCTGTCAGCATCATTGGATCCTGGGCACACAGAGTTTTCTGCTTTTCACTGAGTTCTGGATAGCTAGTAAGCATTGTTAGACTTACTTGATGGGGGTGATTTACTGTAATCTGAAAGTGCAGTGGAAGAGGAAGTAGAAACTGAAAATTTCCATGTGATTGGTGTCAAATGGTATCTGAGGGACTTAACATGTGACATAGATTGTAGATATCCATCTAAGAAAGATCCCGAAACATCTACACATTGTCAGTAACATCTTAGACAACATCAGTGCTCTAGAAGCAAGGAAGTTCCGTGCACAGAATGAAGCATGATCAAGCATGCCCCACGCCACTGTAATAGTGCAACTAGCCCATCATAAAGGATAAGGGCACCATCCGTGTTGTGCCACAAAACACACATGCTTGTTTCCATACAACAAACACAAATGTGTGCCCACATTCATACATTAAAAACATGTATGTGTCTACACCTTTGCATGCACACACACATACACA